TGAATTACCTTAAAATTTCGTGATAACTCAATAATCAGTCTCATAAACACCTCAACTGCCTTTATATCACTTTCGGCAGCTGAAAATTGAACTGAATGACACTTCAGCCTTCCAAGTCATCATACATCATAATGGCTAAAACAGGCGGACGTAACTAAATTTTAGTTATTATATGAAACTTTCATGCAGATAATACATACGGAAAATCAATATAATCAATAAATGGTAATAAACCCGTACGGCCAATTTTCAACATAATTTCGTGCAGATGAATTTCATGGAATTTTTTTATCAATATTGGCATACTTCTTGCTTACTTTCTTTTTCAAGAAAAGTCCAAGAAGTTATGAATAGTATTTTATTAATTTGATAATTATCTATATACCCCAGCCGAACTTGATCACTCAGTGTTAGCGTCTTTTCACGGCTGGTCACTACACCATTTTTCCATTTCTCTGACAAAAATCTTCTTCTTCTTCCCAACATTTATAAAGTATTTCCAAAAAGAGTAGCTGATACCTTAACAACCTTAACATGCATAAAATTCTAACTATCTAGTGATTATACCTTATATTTGATACTTTTCAACCGACTGATCTACTGGACATTATTTTCGGAGTTTTGCCAGCGTTGATGGCTAAGGATACCAATTGTTCTCCAATTCACTAAATATGCTAATATTTCATCATATGGATTCAAAATAGAGTTATTTTCGAGTATACTCATAATCCTTACTCCACAACTTTCTATTCAAGATCATTCAGAATACTATCAATGTTCTTTCTTTCTAAAAAGTGCAGTCCACTTATTCGAACCCTATCAACTAACAGGGGAAGGATACTTGGATGCCGTAGCCAATCATAATGATTTGTATACCAAAAATGCGCTTTTGAATGTTGGTTCGTAGACTGTCTTTCATATCTGCGAAACGATAATCTGAATGGAGTTATGAATTTTTCATTAAAAAAATTGCGTTTTTGCGGAGGGTCAAAATCATCAATAAAAAAATTTTCTCTCCTTTTCAAATGCTGAGTATGATCCAGGTAGTCTAAATAAATATTACTACGTCTAAAATTTTCTTCAGTAGCATCAAACGGTAGGCTAGATCAAATCTGGTGATTTTTACTATCCAAAAGTAGGCTAAATTTTCAAGGAAAAAAGTTCATAACTTTTTTCAAAAGATCGTTTCGCAGATTTCGAGCACAGATTCAGAATCTGCATTCGAAGGCGCATTTTTTGGTATACAAATCATTAGGAATGGCCGCGGCATCCAACTATCCTTCCCTTGTAAGTTCTTCTATTGACCCTTTTTTGGAACTTGTTAAGCTTTCTTTCTGCAACATTTTGTTCTCCATCATCTACAGATATTCAGTCGCAGTTTCATTTTAGCCACCGGTTGTTGTTCAAAAACTTTACATAACTAGCGAATTGGTAACTGGTCTCTCCGTGCCTAAAGACAACGACAACCTTACTTCTACAGTGCTACAGTAAGCACAGAGAGGGTATCAATGAAAACCAGAAGTTTTAGGCGGTCACAACCAGGGCCCGGCACGAGTCCGTTTCTAGCCTTTTGAAAAACGAAGTCCCCCCTGACTTTCGAGAATTTTACGAAGTCCCCTTTGACCCTTGCCCTACCCCCCCCCCCCCCACCCTCCGACTGTGAAAAGCAAAGAAAAGTATACACAAAAAACTTTATCCAGGGCACTTCAATTTCTCCAAAAAAACAACTTTCAAAAAAAACCAACAAAATTGAACTTCAAATGTTTCTATACGAACTAATAGTGGCTACAAAGGAAAAATTATGAGATCAGAAAAGGAGAGGTTATTTTTGAGCTTTTTTTGATCAGATAGAAAAGAAGATCAATGTTAGACGATTCAAGGAGATCAGCAGGAAAATTAATAGAGATTTACGAGTAGGGCGGTGCTTGTTGTAAAATTGGGAAGGTAAAAATGGCCAGGGATTCTCTATGTTGACCTCAGGGGGGTGCGCATCTGCACCTCCCCCCCCCCTGAGGTCAACATAGGGTACGCCGCGGGCGCTGGGAGTGGTATCCCAACGCCCGCGGCGCCAGCCACCACCGGGGGGTGGTGGTGGCTGGTGGGGGGTGACGATAAGCGGCTGACGCGACTCAGGCGCTGAGAACTCCGCTGGGCGTGCTGGTGCTGGTGCTGGAAGCGCGAATCTGAGTTTGTTAAGCACCTGAAGTGTAAATGAAAAATAAATTGATTGGAAAATTTATATTTGTGACCAACCAAAAACAGTATCAAATAGACTGCAGGAGAAATTGCACTAATGAGGTATCCTATCGGATCTCTGTTGGTTGGCTGTGATCCGGAAGGCTCGCACTGCACCTTCTGAAAGTGGTATTTTGTATATATTCGTATTTGTAGTAGTTTATATTTGTATTTGTAGTATTCTTACCATATTTATAGGGCGATCGTCTTCGCCTTCTAAATAGAGAGTATACGTTTGCGAGAAAAACTGCTTGTAGATGCACTTGTGGTTTAAGCCTTAATCTCGCTAGTGAACATGTGCAAAAATTTTTTTCCGGGACGCCGCCCCGGACCCCGCAGAAACGATATCCCCTTTGCCTTTTGCTCCAAAAACGAAGTCCAGCCTGCTTCTAGACGATCTGTGCCGGGCCCTGGTCACAGCATCCTCAAGCAGAGCACTTGGAGAGATTGTTTGATAATTTCATGAGATCAATCACTTGCTTCATAGGAGGTACAGCTACACTGAATTATTGTTTGATTATATTTTATTATCAATCACCTAATTGGTGCTTTTGAGTGACAGCAGTAGAATGACCTTATAATGCGCGAAATCTCTCTCCCTCTCTTTGATCTGGCAATCCAAAAATGAGCGGGCGATTGACTATCCAGCTAGCTTCGATGGCCATCTCGTAAATTCATTGTCAATTGCAACCGGACCAGCTGTCATGTTGGGAACGGATGCAGCAGCCCAAGATTGGCGGTCATCGGATAAAGATGATTGAAGCAAGCGATGATGCGGTAAACTCTTAAATACAAAGTCAACCTCAATTATGCGTTGACTTAGAATTCAATTTGAGCGCAATCCTTCTTAAAGCTAGTTATTTTTGCTGCCAGAAAAGTGACTTGTACTTCACATGGTGAACGCTTCTGGTGAGCCGACGATTTTTGACTCAATAGGTTAAGTTCAGCCGGTATCAGGAATTTTCCGCAAAGATGACAATAGATGACGTACACTGACTGTCAGAATTGACTTGGCCTTGTCCCACTCGCTACCTTGTCTGTGGTCCAACTTCAGTTTTCTCATCAGCCACGTGCTCCCTTAACTGATTCGCTTATAGCAGCAAACTGAGAAGGAGGCTGCTAATTCAATGTTTATTCACAACAACATAGATAGTTGATGGCAATCAACGTTTGAAGATATAAACTGTACTGAAATAACTTAGTGACACACACAGTCTGCCAAAAAATGTTCTTGAAAGTGGTGATAAACTAGCAGCTTGCCTCGCTGGAGGAGAAAAAGAACACTTTGCTTTAGACCTATTTTTGTCCTCGCTAGCAGAAGTGCAAGCGCAACTTCTTATTCTGTGAAGCGTCTCATGATGTTAGTGGAGATCGTAAAGTAAGATCTGGGCCCAATAGATATTCTCTTTACTAGCAGGCGATACAAAGTCGTAATAATATGATTTACTAGACACAATACATGAAGGTACAGAATAAACAGCAGAGGTTGGTGCAAGATGATCTGTAGGTGAGCGTGCCGCTCTGCAGATGGGGGTTCCGAGATACCTCTCTTCTTCCTTCCTGCGGCATCCTCTTGTACGCGGCTCGGCGCGCTATCAGCGTCATCTCCGCTGCCTTCTGTAAACATCTGTATTAATAGAGGAACTCTTACACCTCCCCAATTTACCCTAAAGTCCTGAAGGGACTTTCAAGATGTCTGCCTACCAACAACTCAACTGCTTACCCTCTGTGTTTACGCCCGCAGGTAATGGCCCAGGCTCGTCGACGGGATGATTGCATTTTGGTTCCGCGCCCATTCCAGGGCCGTCCTCCAAAACGGCACCTTCTCAAGGGATTCCTGATGGCCTAACAGGAATTGCCCGTGTCTGCATCGGGTGAGGGCGACGTTCATCCGTCGGGGATCTCCCAAAAACTCCGCTCCCTCCGGATTAAAGTGCGTCTTCGTTGTCAAGACGATCACGACGTTCTTTTCCCTTCCCTGGACGGTGTCCACAGTGGAAAGGTTTACCCCGACTCTCGTGACGAATTCCTCCAGTCGCCTGTATTGGTCCTTGTAGAAGGTAATGACGACGATGTCATCCGGTGCCACTCCTTTCCTGACGAGCGTGGTAACCAGAAACTCGCATACTATCTTCTCCCTTTCGTTATAATGCGAGTGGGAAGCTGACTGCACCGACGTTCCGTTGACGTCCACGAACATGAACGGCAAGTGAGGATTCGGGAAATCCGTGATGTCCAATAACTGGTGTCTGTCTGCTGCGGTCACACCGCTTACCAACGAGCCTTCATAGCACAGAGTATTGGGGAGGTCGATAAGCGCCGGGTGCGCTCGAAAGGTGGTGATGAGGCTGCGCACCGGAACGGCTCGCGCTCTTTGGAGGACGTTCATGATACTCTGCGCGCCAAGTCTGGCGGGGTTGGCCAGTCTCGAACAGCGAGCGTACGGCTCTAACTGATGGATGTCACCAATGTATATGTGCCGGGTCCGCGGGATTCGCGCCGCCATTGCCATGAACACCGGTTCCGGAACTTGCGATGCTTCGTCGCATATGATGAGATCGAACTTGTCGAGGTAACCCTTGAACAGGCCGTCCGTGTCCGTAGTATTGAGCAAAGATGCTGTTGTGATACAGACAATCTTGGGGTCCATACGACGGAACATGATATCCACCATGTCTTGTAAATTTCGCGAGACGTCCTTTTCCGCCAGCATGAAGTCTTCCCTTTCTTGATTCGTCAGGTCGGTGCGTCGCTCCCTCTTGTACCTTTCGTATCGTATTCGTCCCTGCGTAAAGATCCGGCACGTCTCTTTCTTCCTCCTCGTGAGCTGTCTTTGGAACACCGTTCCGATCATCTTCAAGATTTCAGGAAGGTCCACGGCGGTTGTCGGCGCGTCCGTGTCGAAAGCGATGGCTTCTGCTATGAAGCGAGTCACTCCAACCTGCTGCGCCTCCCCGAATTCGAGGATGGTGTTCGCGAACTGGGCTACGGCGGTATTGGTGGAGACGGTGATGATGACCCGTTGTCCAGCGAGAGCTTGGCGTATGGCCACGCAGGCGCCAACAACCGTCTTGCGTGTCCCAAACGCAGCCTGAATTGCTATTAGTGGATATTTGCTGTTTCCCAGTGCCAGTGCTTCCTGCTGATCGCGCGTTAGCTCCAATCGGCGGCCGTGCAGAGTTATCGAGTCGATGAGTGGTTCGTCTTCATCTCCTTTCGCTTTTTCGGCCGTTTTACATCCTAGTTCCTGTGCTCCGTATGCGATGTCAACTACGCTAACGTCGGCTCCGCCTTCCTCCAAGTTCTTGTATATCTCCGTTCTCGAGACTGACTCGAACGCCGGGTTGGCGTTTGCCGGAGTTCGGCCTAGCTTGACGAAAAGATCCAAAAATGCGGTGTTTCGCACTCTGCGGCCGACGTTTCTGATGGCGTTCCTCAGCACCTGCTCTGTGAGTAAGTGGCAAGGGTCACTCGAAGCTCTCTGGTTTCTTCTTGGAACTCAACTTCATCCACCTCAAGTTTGGTGAACCACCAGACGTCCAACCACTCGCTGCTACCAGTAAGATCTGGGCCTAATAGATATTCTCTTTACTAGCAGGCGATACAAAGTCGTAATAATATGATTTACTAGACACAATACATGAAGGTACAGAATAAACAGCAGAGGTTGGTGCAAGATGATCTGTAGGTGAGCGTGCCGCTCTGCAGATGGGGGTTCCGAGATATCTCTCTTCTTCCTTCCTGCGGCATCCTCTTGTACGCGGCTCGGCGCGCTATCAGCGTCATCTCCGCTGCCTTCTGTAAACATCTGTATTAATAGAGGAACTCTTACAGTAATTACGAGAGAGCTGCAATCTGTAGCCTTCTAAGTATGAGTGTTTGTCAGCGTTCTATTTCAGCGGCTTCCCTCCTCTTTTCTGACAATCACTTAGAACGATGACCTATCCACCAAGTAATTAAAAAAGCTTATAGTTTATTAGTCTGCTACGGCATTACCTGTGAAGTAACATTCACTGCACTCTGTGTCTCGTCGTTAGGTGGCTTAGCCGCATTCGTTGCATTCTCATGATTATTTTTATACGTCATATTATCCGAATTCTAGAGTAGTCGATGTAGCAGAAGGCCATCAAGTATAGAATAAGAAAAAAGGAATGAGAAGGGTAAGAGAACGCAACAAGACCTTCCCAACCCCCCCCCCTTAATCCCCCAACTACACAAGCCGCAGAGGACGCAATCGAATAAAATGTGCAGTTTTTCCAAGTACTATTGTGGTACTATTTTCTTAAATAGATTACCCCGCATGCAAGTGATTGTCGATCCAAGAGGTCAAGGTTTGTTTTTTGCACATCTGGGAGCGATTCTGAGTGAAGGCCCGGAACAGAATATGCCAGCTGGTAGCTGATAGTGAGATCAGGAATGTGATGAATAGGTGTTGCCGCTACCATGCCAGAAGCTAGATATATAGTAAGAGCAATTTAATACATCCTAGGAACTCTTAGCAAATTTGAGCCTATACAGTGCTAACGCAGCCATGCCTGCGGTGACCGTCGAACTCAGACACATCATGGCGCCGCTGCATGTCCTGCTGCGGAAGGATCGCTGCATTCTGCATACTCATTTTTCCTTTCTTTGTTCCATACTCGGATTACTGACAATCATTTTAGAGCAGTATCATGATACGTCCGAAATGCGCACTCATGCGCTCGCCGACTAGAGAGAAGCACAAGATCTCAGATCACGTAACTGAAAAGGTAAATTGTGGGGGAATCTCCAGTGATATACTTGTGCTTTAGTTGTATCCAAAACGGTAGGGATAAAAAACTTTGTGGTGGCGTGATTTTGAGGCGTCCAGTGGTACGAATTTAATGTCATCGAAGATGTTAAGCAGCAGCTTAAAGTTTTCATGTGTTGCAGTCCAACGTAAAATACACATTTAAGTCTACCTCGAAACCTCCTCGTCTCGGGCTTGTGTGTGAGATATGCCAAAGGTAGATGGATCGATATACCAATAAAAAGTAGCTCCACTGCTTAGAGATAGTTTACCTGAGATTTTGAGAAGCAACTTTCATTGAACGGAATAATTTTGTACGACGATCAAGACGCGGGAGAGCAAAGGAAAGAATGAATATTTGGATAGAGGCAAGTCGAAATAGAGTAAGGTAAAAAAACTGATCATTCCATGAAAGGTTTGTCAAACAAGTGATCCATACCAGTCACTAGACTGTTACACGTGCCTCAACACGTTTGGCCAGGTTTGCAGCTTGTCGCCAGCCACCACGTCTATACACGTCATATCTCTACTGCCTACAGGATCAAATAATTTACAAAGGACGTGCACCTCATGTGTGTTCTCGTAGGCACTATCAACGTGGCTGCCTTTTTCTAACATGTCAAGTTCAAATAAGTACCTTAAATTTGCTGGAATTAACATATTATAGCGATTGAAAGGCAGGCACGTTAATGGTGACCCATGGGAACAATTGTGAGGGAGGCACCATAAGTTGGTCGAAGTGTCTTTTTAAGATGACATGGGGCTGAGATGCTGATTTCGAATCTGGTTCCCGTATCTGCGAAACAATATATGCAGCTAGGTGCAGCTCTATAACTATATATGCGAAATTATATATGCAAACTATATATGAAGCTCTGAAACTTTTAAAGTCCCACGGCAATCCGACAACAGTGAAGAGCGATTGATGAGTCACTCTATACCGTAAATTATCATTGAAACCGTATATTTCTATCCTATCATTTTATTCGAAATATTTGACTGTTCATATATTCAAATAGTCGAATATTCGAGAAAGTCCATTTATCCTTTGATTCAACTGAATTGGCGTCTGAAAGGCGGGGCCTCGTGACTCAGTTAAGGCTAGAGAATGATCATAAAGCACGTTCGCGACAAAGATGCAGATTACGTCGCGGGTGCGAGCGGTTGGCCTTCCAACCGCCAAACTCGTTGAAACGATTTGGAAATATTATTCATTCGGATATTCAAATATTTAAAATGATGTGAAGAACAGTCATTTGAATATCCAGATATTCGAGTAGATGGAAACCCCGCAGATTCGAATATTTGAATAAATAAAGGCCGTTCAATCAAACCTTCGATAATCGAATAAACTTTCTGCTGTTCGTGCCAGGGTTCAATATGCTCTCGGATCGATTATTCAAATGAATGAGCGAAAGAAATTACAGTTAGGTAACATAGTTTCATCTCTCCTAAGGCAACCGCGACTATGGTGAGGACAAGACTATAGTGAGGAGAAGTCTGCGCATTTCGTTTGGAGTGATGATCTTTCCTTTAGAGGTTGCGTCTCCAGCAGTATAAGATGCGATAGCAAGCGTGCAGATACTTCCAAGCTTCAAAATCCTAGCAAATACCGCCATTAGGTGCAGCACCTGCCGCCTCGTTCCTCCACCCTTGAAAGCAGCGTCCACCCAAAATTTCGCCTCTCACGTTTTTGTCATTCTGGGAGTTTTCCATTGCACTTTTTACAGTTATAAATTTCAAGCTGTCCAAAACCTCAAGAAACCCGATATCTGGGGGCCTTGTTTCGAGGGCGCGGACGAGTTACAGATTATTCATACCCTTTGGCTTGCCAGCTAGCTGCAGCTGGAGCTGCATGGCTGGAGTTGCAGCACTTGCGTGAGCACTCGTCCTCATAGGCCTCGGACATACCTCACGCGATTTCAGTCGCGACGCGATTTGGCAATACTCCAAATGTTCATAACTCATCGTACAGGATTTCCGAATGTACGGAAGATGGGGCATTTTATCAACCTACGAAAGTTATACGTGCTGTACATTTGGAGTCTACCAGTATTGAACTTGAAAACATCTGGCAAATTGCCAGATCGCGTGGCGACTGAAATCGCATGAGGTATGTCCCTTGCCATAGGAATGTTTTTGACACCAGAAGCAGTTTGTGATACGTATCACAGGCCCGTATCTCCTTTCAAAGGCCACATCAAAGAATCAGACTGACTCTCGGATACTCCTGCGGCCCGTTGAGAAGTAAATGCCGATGGATGAGGCGGATTTTGGGTGGGCGCTGCCTTTAGGCATTGTTCGGACGCCGCCGCTATCCATTCAAACCCGCCGACATCCGCCGGGACCCGTCAGAACCTGCCAAAGAGGAAAAAGCAAAAAATACCTTGAACCGTCGATTTATTTGTAACTGGCATATCCTTTCCGCAGTTATTTCTCCCCTTGGTTTGCATCTCTAACCTGCAGCACGCATGATTAACATGTTAGCAACATGCAGCAACATGTTGGCGCTGAGGCTGATTGCCAAAATGTTCTGCCAACTTGTTAGCGTTGCGGCAGGCCCCAAGCACAGAAGTTGCTTCGATCCACTCTGATGTCTGACAAGGGAAGTTCGTTAGTTAGTGACGATTTAGAAGATTATATTAGGTTGTCCCAAAAGTTCTTGCGCCGGATTTTCAAAAAATCATAACTTCCTTGCCAATCAATGGATTTTCTTGATTTTAATTTCATTCAAAAGAGAAAACCTTTGTCTTTACAAAAGTGCCTTTGCTTGAAGCGACGTTAGAAAGTTCCGAAGCTAGAGGCAGTTGAATGAAATCAATCAAGATTGGCATTTTTCAAGCTGGGTCACGAGAAATTCTGGAAGTATTTTTATTTGATAGAGAAAATTTTGCACATTACAGTGGTACCTTTTCCATAAGTTAAAACTAAATAGATCGAGAGTTAGAAGCAAATGAAGGAAATTTCTTCAGTTTTGCATTTTTGAAGCATGCTCAAAAAAGCCTAGAAACGTCACAGAAAACAGAGGAAGTCATGAACATGGGTTTTTTGACTTTCTCTTACTAGCTGAGCAAGTTTCGAGCTAATCGAGAGCAATTTTGATTTTCGTGACTTTTTCGCATTTTCGGGAGTGCGTTTTTCACAAAAATCAAAATTGCTCTCGATTAGCTCGAAACTTACTCAGCTAGAAAGAGAAGGTCACAAAACCTATGTCTGCGACTTTACCTCATTTTGTGTGCCATTTCCAGGCTTTTCTGAGTATGCTCCAAAAGTGCAAAACTAAAGGAATTTTCTTTATTTGCTTCTAGCTCTCGATCCTTTTCGTTTTAATTCATGGGAAAGGTACCACTGTAATGTGCAAAATTTTCTCTATTAAATAAAAATACTTTCAGAATTTTTCGTGATCCAGCTTGAAAAATGCCGATCTTGATTGATTTCATTCAACTGCCTCTAGCTCTGAAACTTTCTAATGCCAATTCATGGCAAAAGTACCGTAAAGAGAAAGTTTTCGTCTTTCAAACGATGTTAAAATCAAGAAAATCCATCGAATAGCAAGGAAGTTATGATTTTTTGAATATCCGGCGCAAGGACTTTTGGGACAACCTAATATATACAAACGGATACAACGTAAAACGCTGTTCTCAAATATACCTTCAATATCTGCGACGCCTTAATCTAGATGGAGTTATGGGCTTTTTTGTATATATAATGGAAATGTGATCTACAAAGGGAAATGACGACCTGTGGATAAACAACATGTTCGGAAGTTCGAGACACACTCAAAAACTTCCAGAATGAACTCAGATTAGACCTACAATGCTTATAGGTGATTTGCTTGAGCTTGCACACCTTTGTGTAGAAGTTAATATGATTTTGCGACTCAAAAATGCACGAAACTATGGCATTAGAAAAGCTGCATTACCTTCCGAATCGCCACTTCGACTAAGCAAACTTTCCTTGTAAGTGTCCAGCTGTTGTCCGTTTTTTACAGCCGAGTATTTTCCGCTCAATATAGTGTGATTGCACTGCAGGTAAAATGCGGTTCAAATTGTGCATGAACAAATAGTTACTTTGTGATGCCGACCAATTGCGCGCGGGCATTACTGGCGTGGCTATTTACTCACGCATAAATTTAACCGTATTTTACCTGCAGTGCAAGCCCATTATACCAAATGGAAAGCTACCAATCTACTTGATTGTATAATGTAACCGGCCTTCGCTTTCACGACATATTCCGCTGGATTATGAGGATGAGACATTCTTCTCAACCTGGCACTGCAGAGTTCGACAAGTTGCCTGTGTTGGGTAATCTTCAGAACAGTGCGAACAAGGGCTCTGTTGCTCATACGTAGAACTTTCATTGCAGCTACTGTATCGGCACAGATTTCAACTGCATAACAAAGGCTGAGAGTACGTTGGATCGAACAGATGAGCTCTGAAACTGTTGAAACTCCTTAAGCTGATCGGCGGCTTCCTTCATAAACCCGAAAACGGCCCAGGCTGTTTTTCCCTTTTAGGTTTTTCGATTCTCAGTCCATCGAACTTCCAAAAAAGCGTATGAAGACTCTATATTGGGAGTGCCTTCCTATTCCATTCTCACATCGAGTCTCCTTTCAATTTATTCGCAGTCCAGTCTTGTTCCTTACTTCGTAATTGCTTCAGCATCGTCTCTGC